TTGGCAGGAGTGATGGCACCCAAAGTAGCACAGAGAGTTGAGGGGAAACAATTAGCAGAGCAGTTTGGGGCCACAGAGACCTTGCCATTCCTTCTGGCCAATTATTGTGCAGGACTCCCTCATTCCTACTGCAGTGCAAATTTTAGAGATATGCCCATCTGTCTGTTAGCATTTCCATGTTCCCTCAAAGCATTATTAATAAAGAAACACACACACACACACAATCTGACTGAGGGACCTGGTTTCTACTGCACAAACCCCCACCAGACCCTGCAACCCTCTAGCTTAGACTGCCAAATTCACCTGGACAGAAGAAGAGGTCTCCTGACTTGCTCCGGCCAGCAGAAATCTAGGCAGTCCCAAAGACACATAAAAAGGAATAATCCTCAGACGAGAAGAGACATGGTACTGGCAGCAACCCATCTCCTGCAGACCTTCCTCCCATCAGACATCACAGTGGGCCATGGCTTCCTTCACTGGAGGCACTTACATGCGTTCCCCTCTCACTGCTCGACTCTCCCATTGAAAAGCATGTTTGAAACAATGACAGCTGCATTGCCAGTCTTCCACCCAACCGCTGCAGAGCCACTGCTTTCTGGATTCACAAAGGTGTTTCAGTTTTCCCTGAAAGATTTACTTTGCCATTGGCGCTTATTTTGACTGAATATCCTGTCACATCAGTTCAGTGGAAAGAAGAAGAGAGGATTCCTCTTAGCAATGGCTTTTTCTATTATGCTAGAACAGCTGTCGAGGGGAAGCTACATCCAAAGAGAAAAAGGGGGGTCTTTCTAACAACCATGCAAAACACCTAAATTAGTAGTGATGTAGAATGACTTGCCCCCATCCAAATAGACATTTCCAGATTTGCACCTTTTTCTACAGGTACTAAAATTCTCTACAAGCCTTCAGGATATAAAAATGTCAACCACTATTACTTTAGTCCAAAAATGTGACAGAAGTGCCAGTCAAGAAGTAGAAGTAAAAAAAAACCTGTAAAGAATAGGGTTTGTGAACAAGCACGACATAGACAAATACAACCTGAGTGCGCCTTGCAAAACTGGCTTGTCTGCTGGCCGAACCACACAAACTATAGCAGGTGGGTAGTCAAGTAAGCACATAACTATCTGCAGCACCATCATTCAGAAAAGCAAACAAGAAACAGCAACATGGTCCTGAATTTTGTTTTTCTGTCCTTTTTCCCCCTCCTAAAATTGACTGCATTCAGTTACACCACCACCTTTTCCACTTGCTGCACTGGAGGCAGGCAAAATGTGTGTTGCACACTAGTGCAGTAAAGGTGACTTCTAAGAGCACAAGAACACTAAAACGTTTGTTTTGCTTATATTTTCCTCTACTTGTGCCCCAGGTCATCTGGTTTTGTGACATTTTAATGGCAGTCACATAAGACTGGGGCTTTATCTATGTCCCCAAGGCAGAAAATGGAAAGAAGTGGATCCAAAAGCTTCCTTCATCTGAAGGACCCCTGCTTTAGGTAGAGCAGGCAATTTACTGGAGAACTGATAGAACTTGTGGACAGAGGAATGGAGTATTTGTACATGCAATAGGTATAGAATACCAATATAAAACCTAAGCTTACTTCCACCCGATCTCCTCTCTATTTAGATTTGACTGCTGACATTGGTACAAAACAGTATCTATTTGACAAACACCATATATTTGGTCATGGAATCTCCCTGGAATGATCCTAAATGGAGAAAAAGTGGAATGTTACAACTGCTGATACACTTCATACATACACCCAGACAAATATACATTAGCCTAGAGCAGACAACCACCACTGTTGTTTTTTGAACATGTTAAAATCTAAAGTAGGAGCTTAGGGGTAATCTGAAATCATGGTATACAATATGTATTACAAAATTCCCTTCTAGTATCTTCAATATGAAAAAGTCAGAACTGAAAAGTTGTATCACGGATAGAGTGGAATACAGACAGACTGGGCCATTTACTGCACACTTGAAGCAAAGGTCACTGCAAACCAGAATTTACTTCATCAGAGCCCAAAGTGAACAAGTATAAGCGGCTGGGACTAGCAAAGCAATGGAAAAAAGAACAGATTGGATCAACTACCCTCCTGGGAAAGAGCTTACCTCGAAATATCTCATTTTCTGGAAGCGCTCTGGTCTGGAAAGAAACTCAGACCTAGGAGACCAAACCACCACTCATATGGCAGCCTGCTGAAAAAGAACTTACCCATTGACCTTAGGTCAATCATCTCAATAGAGAAGCAAAGGCAGTCTGAGTCTACAGCTGCTATTCAGCTACATGAGCTACTGCCAAAGAGGTTTAGGGAGACACTTTGCTTGTCTGTCACATTTTTTTAATTGCATGAAGAGATTAGTCCAATTCAGAGGACCAGGAACAGGTTTGTTAGGTGTCAGGCCAGTCCAGTTATTCTTCTATCTTTCTGCAAACTTTGGAATCTGCACTCCTCATTTTTTTCAGAGCATGGTTCAAGCTAATCTCTAGGACATTCCTTTTGCTCCTCTATAGTCCCACATAATATTAAGGGCCTTGTTTATTTATTTACTTTGATTTTAATCTGTCCCTGGAAGCCAAGAGCAGTTCCCAGATGATCAGCTGAGAGGCATGACTGCCCCTCAAGATGCTGGAAGAAGGGCTGGTTTGGTTTTTCTACATGATGAAACACAAAAAAGAATAAAGGTCTGAAGTTTGCCTGTTAGGATAATCTTTTCTTGAGGAGCTTACAGCATTAAGGACACACTTGCTCAAACAGCATTTCAAATGTCTATTCACAACCTGCAGCAATTGTTAAAATTCTAAATCAATTTATGACTTAAAGCTATAGCAAGCAGAAATGGCTTTACTGAACTGAAGACAACTCAAACCAGCCTGCTCTTCCCTCCAGCCTAAAATAAACTTACCCTGTAGCACATTGGTAGACTGGAAAGGTGCTGCCAGATGACTTAAAAGAAAACAAACCCAAACCAGTGCTTACTGCTTTCTTGAATCTTTTGATGCAGGCCTTACTTGACGCGAGACGTGCTTTATGTCTTCAAAGCGGCAGTGCAAACCAAGTAATTAATCCTCACAATGTGGGACCAGTCAGTAGTATCACTCTGAGACAGACAGGTTGACATTAAAACTCAGAACTATCTCAGTGCCTCAAATGGCATCTTGGGCCCTTCTGTCCATGTCTTAAAGGCTTTAAAATCACATGCTCTTGTTTCACATGTAATAAAGTTATTTGATTTTGTGTTTTAAAAGCAGCTCTAAAAATCTCTGATTGGGCTTTGAAAGAGAGAGTGGACTCCTTTCTTCTTTTTGTACATCCATCCTGCTAATCAAAGGTATGGATTGCTAGTTTGTTTTCAGACTATGTTCTCAGCACAACTGGACCCGCACAACTTTTGGTACTTAGCAGTCTTCAACACCAGGCCACTTATTTCTGAAGGCTGAAAATTGCAACTGACAGTTTATTGTAAACAAGAAATTTGTGCCAAGCAATTATGGGATGAACTTTTCTCCTTTTAACTCACGACAGGTTGTGGGGTTTTTTTCGCTCCCTTCAGGCAAAGTGTTAAAGTGCTGCTCTGCTCCTACCACCAACTCTGAAGTGACACTGCAGGATTCCAGTTTTGATTCCATCATTTTATTAATTTTTCAGTTTGCAAAGAAAGACATTTTGCTAAATGCCAGGCTCCTCCTGGAGTCTCTTCAACATTTGTGTTACCTTTTCACATATCTTTCCCAACAATCCTGCTGCCAGGGGATGGTACCGCTGACAGAGACTCCAGCTCATCGTCTCATAGCTGTGCCATCCCTGCAGCACTCGCCAGATCCAAACTAAATTCACTGCAATATCAAGCCTGGGCCAATCCACCGATGAGGAAAGTGTTGCTTTCAGACAGCTCAATACCAAGCCAGGCCAGGGAAAAGAGCTGCAGAAGTGGCTGAGTGAGCACATACTGCACTGGAAGAGAAAGCATAAAATTCTAAAGCAGTAAATTCTGCAGAAAACTAAGACTGACACGGTATCTCCGGATTGACTGCAGGGAAGGGAGAACAAAGCCAAGGACTCAATCCAAGAGAAACTGCTGCAGAAGGTGCTGAAACAGGGCCCTTGGGGAATTTAGAAAATTTCCTACAGTTCTGCCTGGACCATCTTTCCCTGAACTTGTGGCTTCTGGCTCTTCACTCTGTGCTCTCTTCACCTCACCTTCACTCTGCTGCAGAGTGCTTTAAGTCATTTCAGTGTTTGTCTTCTTCTCATGTGCTTGGTCTTTTTCAAGCACACTTTCTTTTTGCAACAACTACTACCATAATGGGGCCCTGCTCTCAGTTGCTCTTCAGGCATTACGGTGTTATGTGTAGACACTCATCAACATGGGTACTGATAACATAATTTTTACAAATGGATTTGTAAGTGTTAAAGCCACAAAGAATGGCATAAATTAAAAGATAGTGCTAAATGCTAAAGATCGTCTCATGTCAGCCAGGGTGTTGGCCAAGATGTTCCTGGACTGTACCTTCTCTGGGTATTGCTTGTGCAACCGAGCATATGCTGAAACAAAAGGGAGCATCCCGGGATGAGGCTCCTTGGAAAGGTAGCGGTGCACATGCAGTTTGGTAGGCCTGTTCATTGTGGGGGACAGCCTCGTTTGAAAGAGACCTTTTCTTTCATCCTGTTTCTTGCTTTAGGTTAAAGACTGTTAAATGGTGTCCCAAATACCTGCTCAGATTCCCTCACCCTACTGCAGAGTGCGGGAAAGAGGCAC